AGTGGCATCTCCCAGCTGTGGTGATTCAGGTGAACCGGGACCCACGCAGCATCCCTGTGGGTTTTATTTCTCACTCTTTTGCTACAGACACATCACTGAGCCTTCCCCACCGCCGTGGCCACGCTCTCCTGGCTCTGGGTATCAGCTGCCGGGGGCCACCGGAGCAGCTGCAGCTGGAATTGAACCGTCAGCGGCACCGGCTGGAGCACTTGACCCTCCTCCAGTTCAGCAGAGTCTTTTTTTTTTCTTTTTCCTGTGGAAAGAAGTAAATCTGTCACTGCCTTGACAGAGTAAATCACCCTAAAAGCAGCAGTGCTCAGGGGGGGAATGCCCACTGCGTTAGCACTGACTTCCGGGCCCTCAGGGAAAATCTGTCTGAATATGACTATAAATAAGAAACCCAAAAAGCATCTTTAAGCAGGCAACCAATCTGAGTGCAAACTTGCTTTTTGTTGTTAATTTCCCCTGTAATTCCTAGGAAATAGGAAAGATGCAGAAATAAATCATTTCAAGGATCCTGGAAAATGAAACGTGGGGTAAAATGAGACCTATGTGAGACTGCTTCCAAAGACATCCTTCAATGTCTGGGCAAATTGTTTGCTCGAGACAAAGCTTGCTGCCTTTCCCCTTTGAGCCATCTGGACAGGATCCCAGTTCCTCTGAGAGGACTTATTATTTGTGTGCATTTGCTGACTGAGGGATGCAAATCAGCCTCAGCTCCCAGCTGCGCGAGTGCCGGTCCCTGCGGTCCCCACGCAGCCTCGCTGGGTGCATGGCCGAGGGCTGGGAGCCGTCCCCGGTGCATCGGGGCACGGCCACTGCTGCGGCTCCAGGGTGGTACGTGGTGCCCAGGTGCTGAGCAGGTGCCAAACAGCCATGGTGCAATTCGGTGACTCACGGAGCAGCTGGGGCTTACACACAGCGTGCAGCGGCGTTGGAGCAGCCCACCTGCCCCCCCGGCCGTGTCTGTCACCCCAGTCGCAATCGGGGTGTGCTTGTCAGTTGTGAGTCACAGCGGAGCGCACGGCCACGGGATGCTGCGGGCACTGGGTGTAGCAAGATGTGGGGGCAGCGGATTTTTAGGCATTATCTCTCTGAAATCTGCACTCGGTGGCCTCGCCGTGCAGCAGCTTGGGGAGGTGGCCAGCCAGCCTCCACCTGCACAGGCATGAGGGGACACCAAATTAAGCATGAGTCTCGAATCACTCTGGGTTTCCTGTAGCAGCAGCGGCTTTCTGTGCACCCAACACCATCTCCGGCCACACAACCCCCCGCAGAAAGGGTTCATTCTCACTCAAGCTGCAGGAGAGACCTCCTCCATGCACACTGACCACAGGCACTGGGGGGGGGAAGGAAGTAAAGAGCCCCGCTGCTGAGCTTCAGTTGTTTGACAGCAGCTCCCTGCTTCAGCAAGAGTCTGAGCACATATTGCAAATACACATCTTCTGGTGGGGAACAACAATTCAAGGAGTTTTTTCATCTTTTCAGGTACCTGGGAAAGCCATCCAGCTTCCTTGAGCGCAGACACAGCCTAGGACGGCAGGGCTCCGAGATCCTCCTCAAAGACAGGGACCTCGCCGTGGGGGACAGGACATGGAAAAGTATCCAGAGTTCTTGGGGAAGGGAGTTTAGTGACTAAATCTGATTCCAGAGCGGGGACACAAGGCTCCTTTGGTGGCTGCGAGCGGCACTCCAGAGGCCTGGCCCACTCCATTCTCTCCTCAGCCCATGAGCAGCTTTTCAGCATCTCCCTGCCACCCCTTCCCTCCCCCACTTCCTCCTGCTCTTGCATTACCCCTCTGATGTGCTGGCACTGCTATTTTTGTAGTCAAAACAAGATTGTTGGAAAAATAACCTGCGAAAGGCAGGCTGAGGTTTGTCTCCAGCGGTTTAAGCAAGGCTGCTGGCCCAGCAGACCATCAGCTCTGCACTGGGGAAGCAGGGGACACCCGGCAGGAGACACCCGGCAGGGGCTGGGGTGGTCTCTGTGGGTGACAGCAGACCAGGGTCTGGGCTGGCTGCGGCACTTGGGGCTCTCTGTGCCTCTCATCTCTAAACCAGAAAGAACAATAATCCCCTCTGCAAAGTGCTTTGAGATGTGAGTTGGAAATGGATGAGGACCTTATTATGCATCCCAGACAGCACTCCCCCCAGCTGCCCGCGCCAGCCCACGCCACCGACCGCATTTGGCAGCTGACACAGAGGGCAGCACATCTCTCACCCGAAAATCTGCTTTGCCCTTGTCCCCTGGCACCCAGCACTGGTAGGTGTGTGTTGCTCCCGGGACAGCCAGCAGCCCGCCCTCGGTGCTTATTCAGACACCAATTCAACAAGGTGTCCAGGCGTGTGTAACCCTACAGCCCCTGCTGTCAATGGATGCATTCACAGCCTGAAGCTCAGGATGTGAGTAAGTGCCCTGCTCAGCAGAGCTGGCAGCGTGGCGGGGACCTGCGGCTGCCTCCCACCTGGACACCGCTGCTGTTTGCTCTCGCACACGTCACCCTCCGCCCAGCCAGCTCCAGTCTCCATCACCTTTGGCAGACGCCGTGGTTTTCCTGCTGGCCTGACTTTCCTTCTCTGCTTTTGGTTTTTTGCTCTTGTCTTTGCCTTTTTTCCTGTCCTGCAGAGAGAGATGTTTCCATAGTTAGGCTGTGTTGAAATTCACTGCCTGCATTCAGTCCTGTGACAGCCATCGCCGTCTGGGTTCTGTCCCCTGGATTTAAAGGGCAGAGGGAAGAGGTGAGGGGAAGCAGGAGCACAGTGAAGGAGTTGCTTGGAGAAGAGAGTCCAGGAAACAGAAAATGTCAGTACTGCTGGTGTGTGTTGCCATGCCGAGAGAGCGAGCATCAGAGGCAGCACAAGTGGTTGCTTTCATATTCTCAAATGGAAAAATAAACTCATCTATTTTCCTAGGCCCGTAAAAAGCAGCAGTACTTATTGCTAACACCAGCATTAAATAATGACACCAGCAGCAATGGATGGTGCTTAGGCAGGGCTATTTCAGCCCCAGTTCATGGAGAGGAGGACTGAGGTGGATGGGAGGGTTGCCCAGGCCGGTGAGGGCAGCACAGCCTCCAGGGAAGGATGTGCTGAGCCCCAGCCTGCAGCGCTGCTCGTCCTTGGCAGCCCTGACTCACTGCTCTGCCCTGGGATACGCTCCTTACCTTCTTCTCCAGACTTAGTGGCTGCAGCAGTTGCTCAGTGACCAGGATCCCAAAGTCACACACAGTTGTCACCACGTCCTCAGTGGCCAGCAGGGCCTCCAGGGTCACCCTCCCAGAGCCCAGGGTCCTCTGAATGGGGGGGTCGCTGAGGAATTCACGTGGCTGCTCCTTTTTCTTCTTCTTTTTCTGTTTTTCCTTGGGTGCAGGACCCTGCAGGACACCAGCATGGGGACAAACCTAAGCAGAGGGCTGGGGTCCCTTTATCCAATGGCAGGCAACCCAGCCCAGCCCACCACTGCACCCAGACCAAGATGGAAAACAGCTGCTGCCTTCCTTCCATAGCAAGGGGGGACTTGGCGAGAGGTCTGGGGTGGAGAGGAGATTCTCTGACACACCAAACTGATCCAAGAGAAGGGCCCTTGTTCCCCCATCCTTCTTTTTGCAACTTAAATGCTATTTGGACATAATTCTCTCCCAGCACCCTACCTTGGCACCATCCTTCTGTCCTGCCTTCCCCTTTGTGACTGCAGTTTCTTCTGGATCAGCACCAACAGGCCATGACAGCACCTGCCCAGAGAGAGGAGCTGGTGCTGCAGGGGCTGGGATGCTCAAGGACCCTGGCCCAGGGTCACTGCCATCCTGAGGTGCCTCCCCAGAACACAATACCACTGCTGGGCCTCCCAGCAGCTCTTTCCCCTTTCATCCAGCGCTGACAAATGCTCACCTTCTCCTCCACAACTGAGACGATCGTTCCAGACTCCAGGTAGGACTTCAGCCGCACTAAATCCTTGGCAGTGTGCTCCTTCCTGTAGCTGCAGTCAATGGTGTCTGCCCAGGGCTTTCCAGGGGTGACAAACACCTTTGCTGGGCAGGGACACAAAAAAAGCTCTGAGGAGAGACCTCTCCTTCCCAAGGACAGAGGTGGGGCAGGGGATGTACAATTCCTCATTACCAGAGCTGGCCTTGGGCTCCTCCGTGGCTTCAGGCTCCTGCTGGCTCTTTGTTTCTCCTGTGTCCGGAGCAGAGCTGTCCACATCCAGGGTGGCCACCGCTGGACTCTGATGGATTTTTGTTACCTGAAACAGAGAGGGATCTCTTGGCATGTCTGGCTGTGTTTGCATCAGGACCAGGAGGCAGAGCTGCCTCTGAACTCCCATTCCCCAGCCCACCCTTATCACGGGAAGAAGGGGCACCAGCGCCAGGGAAGGGGTCTGTCACAGTCAGTGGGAGGGGGCTGTGAATGCACTCTCACCGTGCAAGAGCAGCACTGGGCTCCCCAAGAGGACAGGGAGCGTGGGTAGCAGCGACTTGTCCTGACAGATGTGGCCACACATGAATTCTGTCCCCAGTACTGCTGCTGCTCACACTAAATCCACTATAAACAGTCTCACTCCACATCCCAGAGGTGAAGTCCCCCTTGCTGTGACCTGCCACTGCCTGTTGCCTTCAAGAGTTAAGCACAAACCTCAGTGCTGCTACCGTCCTCGATCTCCTCTCCCTCTGCAAACTCGTAGGTCACGCAGTAGCTGTAGGTGATCACCCGAGCCTCAGAGCCAACCTCCAGCTGCTGACAAGTGCTGGGATTGGGCACTCCTTTGATTTCCCCGATGCTCACAACCACTCGTGCTTCACTCCTGATCAGCTCTAAAAGGAAGACAATCTTGCTGTGAAGCTCCAGCATGCTCCTTCCAGAGCAAGGAAGGCACAGAGCAGGCAGAAGCCTCCAGGATGTCATGTCCCACCACCTGGCATCCCTCCCTGCCACCCTGTGCTAGTGCTGTGACAAGCGACTGCCACATGGGGTCACTCCAAAGCCACGCAAACATCTCCCAGCGTGATTGCTTTGCCAGCCTGTTGAACGTTTCAGACTCCAAAGAGCACATCCAGTGCACAAACTCACTGAGTAGGGGCCATCAGAAGGCGCTTCCCACCCCCGATGTCCCCATCCCCCTGCCCTCGTCCCAGCTGGGGATGTGCCACGCTGCAGAGGTGGCACTGCTTCGTGCAGACAGTGCAGCACCTACGTGAGCATCTTCCCCAGCAGAGATGTTCCTCTTTCAGCAGTTTGAGAGGGAAATGCACGGTCTGAAACCAGACAGTGTCTAGGCAGAAAAGACGGGGGCAGTGGCAGGACTAGGTTGTTCTTGCAATCTTTGGACCTGACAAAGGCTAAAACTACCTCCGTTGTAATCATGCTGCTGCAGGGCCCTCTGCTTGTCTCCCCACTTGTACTGATGGGGTAAAAAGGCACGGAGAAAGATCTCCATTTGAGGAGAGCAAGAAGGAATTCAATACTGGATCCAGAGTTTGCCTTGAGGACTCCTAACTCAACCACGATGAAACCATCCCCCAAATCACAGGGTCAGCACGGACAGATTCAAAGGCAAAGGCTCACCTGTCTGCCTCGCCAAACCGTGGAACTGGCGCCTCTCGTCAGGCCCTATGGGGATGTCATCGAGGACAGAGAGCTTGGGCAGGCTGTCCACGAGGAAGCCTCTGTAAGTGGGAATGAGAGCCAGCGGGTTCCCTTGGAGCACCAGGATGCGGAGCTTCTGCAGAGTGGACAGTTGGGACACCAGCCCCAGCAGATCCGTGAAGTTGTTAAAGCTCAGGTCAAGGGAGACAAGGTTTGGCCTAAGGAGAGAACCCAGAGAAGGAGGTCAGGCAAACAGTGTCCATCTGAGAATACAGAGCTACTGCCCCAGGTCAAAAAAAAAAGAAACAAAAATTGTGATTCCCCAACACAAACTGGGTCAAACCGGGAATCTAATGGTACAATCTCAAGAAGCCAATTCCAAGTTCCTGACCCACATGGTCCATTGCCAGTCTGCCCCACGACTCAAAAACATATTCCTTTAGCATCCATTAACCATCCCGCTGCATCACAAGGTGATGCAGCCTAAGCTGTAGATCCTTCCCAGGGCAGCCAGAGCTTTGGGAAGGGCATGGAAAAAGGAAGCTACTAAGGGACACAAGAACTGTGGTGGGCAGGGTGTCAAGGAAGTTCCCCAGGTGATCTCCCTGTTCCAGACCTTGGCCACAGACCAAGACACCCTCTAAGAGTGAGACAGAAGTGGTCTGCACCAGCGTTGGACACCAACCAATGAAAAAACTCTGCTGAAGGGCTGTAATTTCTTAACAGGGACCACCTTGATGGCTTGAGGTCACCAGTTCACATCTGCCCACCTCCCTTTCAGGAGCCCATGTTCAGCTTGTGGCGTTACCAGAAGTCCGCAGTCAGGTACTTTTCCGGTGAAGGGCCACACAGCCTGTTGTATCCCAGCCCCAAGTGCTGCAGCTCTGGAGGAGGCTCAGCACACAGGTCCTGCAGATCATCCACAGCGTTGCAGCAGAGCTCCAGGAACTGCCCAGGACACAGGGAACAAAAAACACCCTTTGCTGGCACTACTTCGAGCTGCTTGGCTCTTGCTGCGTTCCCAGATGGGATCCTTCCCCATCCTGCTGATGCAAGGCACTGCTGGCTCACCTTCAGCGTCCGGGGCAGGTTGGCCGAGGTTATCCTGCTGATGTGGTTGGCACTGAGGATGAGCTCCTCCAGCTGCTGTAACTGCAACAGTCCTTCGTCAACCTCCTCCACCTGCAATGAGAGAGGTTTGGGCAACATGTCCCCAAGCCACCTCATGGGCAAGGTGATGCAGATGTGTAGTGTTGATCCACATGACACACATGTAACACAGATTAGCACAACACAGTGGGCAGGGGGGCTGGGAGCTCTACCCCAGCTGCAATAATGGCATCTAGTAAGACCCTGAGATGAGGAAACCGTCCTTTTCCCAAATGTTTTCCCTCCCATCAGGAAGGTGTGGTTTCCTGCCCTGGAGATGGGTACCTTTAAGGGCACCAGCAGCTGCACTTACTCCCTTGCCAACGATCCGCAGGGACCTGAATATCTGGAAGACATTGGAGCCATGGACGAGCTCGGGGTCCAGCACAGCCATTTCCCGCAGGTGCTGGTCCTGGGGGCTGCAGTCTGGCAGCGGGGCCCAGGGGCTGTGCCGGTCTCTCAGCAGCTCCATCAGCACCTCAGGGCTCTCCTCATCCAGTGGCATGGCCTCCTCCTGCCCAGCTGGGTCTGTTCCCAGCCCTGGCCGGCCTCCGCAGGACCTTGTGCGTTCACCAAAGCGGGACTTGTTCTGCAGAGAGGGAGAGAGGAGAGGCAGTAACAGCCCTGCAGACACCAGACCCCCCACCATGTCCCACAGCTGTGCCCCCCTGGCCTCCTACCCAGCTGCCGAGGCCACAGGGGAAGTTCTGCAGACCCAGGTGCCGTACATGCTCCCAAAAAGCAGCTGAGACGCTGCGGCAGCCAGGCGCTGACATCCAGCCCCAGCCTGGCAGGGAATTCCCTGGCTCGGCAGCATGTGTTCCTGTCGCTAGGAGACGACGGGGACGCGGGTGCCCTGGGGACCAGCAACCAAGCTCTGCAAGCAAGCGGAACTGCAGAGCGAGCCTGGGATGGCACTGAGCTCCCCAGGATGGGAATAATCCTTGCTTTTGTGCATCTCCCCCTGGGCTCTGGGGGCTGCTCCTTTAAGAGCGAGTGGCCCCAAACAGCATTTGCAGGGTGCAGCGTCAGCCCTGTCCCCTGGCTGAGGACCTGGGGCATGGCATTTGCCATTTCACTTATCTACATCCTGAGTGTCACTCAGGTTTCGGGGAGGAAGCAGCCAGGTTCTCAGTTAGCTGTAAAAGCACTGTTGTTCGCTCGTGTAGAGCGTACCGCTCGCCGCCACAGCAGTGCAAGGTCATCGGAAATCAAAGTTCACAGCTAAAAATACCAGCTCCTACACTTGGAAAAAGTAGATGAGCCCCAGGAACAAAAGCCACAGCTCTGTCCCAGGTCAGATTCAGGTCTCTGCACTCTGAGGTTTATTTGTTTTTTCCAGTGACAGGTGTTGAGGCAATGGATGCAAATACCATTTTAGGGAGCCTATAGAGCAGTCTGTGTCAGCAAAACTTCACCAAATGAACTGCAGATGCTCTGTGGCATCTAGGTTTACGTGGCAGAACGCTGAACTTCCACTCAAGTTGGATTTTACAGGACGGATGCTGATCTCCTCCCTTATCAGCTCAGCAGCTTATCACAGCTGCGTACAGATAGGAAAGGACGTGCAGAGCATGCACACACCAAGATAGTGGCATGCTGGGGAATGGAATAACCAGGTAAACTGCTATCCTCAGCTCAGTAGAAAATGAAGTAAAATCTTCCAAAAATCTTTGAAAAAGCGTTACCAGTAGTTGAATCGTATTTCATGGAAAAGCCAAGCTGCAAGAATGCTTCTTCTCTAATTTGTATCACTCTTACAAGTAACTGGGCGCCATTGCCCTCGGTGCTGCACAAAGAGAGATTCTGTGCTCTCCAAGGAAGACCAGCTGCGATTCCATGGCTGTCCTCCCTGGCTGTACCCATCTGGGGCAGCTGGAGGGAGAATGGTCTCTTGTATGTGCAAGCTCACGCACCTTCCGCACAACTTGCAACACATGGTGGGGCACTAACCAGCTGCATCTCTGCTTTTTTGATGCTTCCAAACAAGCAGCCCTCCAAGATCACCCTTCTACCTGAAAGGAGACATCTGTACTCATCATTTTCTTTGTAGGGATGTTCCTAATGAACACGCTGCACAAAGAAACATCTCTCTCTCCCCATTTCAACCCCAAAATAATAATAAAAACCTCAAATAAAAAAAGCGTCTGCCAGAACTCTCCTTTTCTGGTTCTTCTCCAGCATTCTGCTGTACTGTCTGCTGCCTCACACCATAGCCTATAACTCATTCTCTTTCTTTGCATTATTTAGCACTTGGGAACATGGGTCATGCAAGAAGAAATGCATCCCTGTGGGATAAATGCATCCCTCTGCTTGGCTGTCCGGGGCTCCCTCACAGCACGGTGACAGAACCACGTTCAGTTTGTGAATCTCCATTATTGTGGGTTCAGGTCTGGTAGACTTCAGACAGAGGTCTGAAGTTTCAGGCTGGTGGGACCCCAGTGCAAGATGGTCCAGGGGAAATGTCTGTTCCCATTTCAAGCCTTGGGAATCAGTTCTGCCCTGAGAACAGTCCTTGTTCCAGTCCCAGGCATTTCAGAGGAGTTCATGTGCACACCAAGCTTTTTATTTTCAGAGACAGACTATTTCACATAGAAAACAGAACTGATTATTTTGACACCAAGATATTGTTCTTGAAAGTTTTCTGGTGACTTGACATGCATTCATCTTCAAATCAACGTCTACGTTTCAGGGATCTTTTATCACGGAGCGGGGAAAGTACAAGCGTGTACATGTCACTTCGCATTTTCACAAAGGTGTGTTCATAGGGGTTTCCTCTGCCCTCCTTTCTATCCTAAACTATCATCAGTTCTGCAGGTTCTCTTCTGAGCACAGCCTCATACTTGTAAATCCTAGGAATGATTTTCCTCTGTTTTGGTGTGTAGGAAAAGTTCCTCCATTTAGCTACTGGAAATGGAAAACCGCCTCAGGGGAGTTAGAGAGAGGGGTGACAAGAGATGGGGAGGTGGGATCCAGGACATGCTCTGCTGGGTTACACAAGGGGGTCACACCGCATGGACAGGGCTTACAGACATCCAGCAAAAGGATTTATGTGTTGACCTGGAGGCCTGACCTGCCTTGCACCCAAGACCCTCGTGGCTTTTTCGCTCCCCACATTAGCCCACTCTTACCCTGACCCTGCCGGAGAAGGGTGCTGGCTCTGGGCACCAATAGTGTGCCTGCGTGCTTCAACCATGTTTTTAAAAAAGCCAACAGAGTTTATGTTCTAAATCCTACACTTTGGAGAGCCCTGGGATTTAGATGGGATGGCTACACCAAGCGCCCTGAACTCCTAGTCGCACAGATGATAAGGGACACTGTCTGCACCAGTTTGAAACTGCATCTAGACCACAATCAGTGAAGACGCATTCGAACCAACTTTTGATGTAATCTTTCAAAACAGAAAAAAACCCAAACTATCACCCACAAAAGAAAAAAAAACCCATGGAGAAGCCACTGACGCAAAACTCCATGGTACTTAAATGCAGCTTGGCTGTCCACCTCTACAGCACTCCAGGCAACAAGCAGCTTGGACACCAACATCCCGCAGCTTTCGGCCAAGGCAGCTGCTCTCCCAGCCCGCCATGAAACGCCAAGGAGGTGGGTGTAACTTAACCTTGGTATGTGTTGTAAGGTTGCATTGGTTGATGTTCATCGCTAGCTCAGCCACTTAATGTCTATACACTTTAGAAATTTATCATGCCGCACAAAAGCCGGAAGTTTTGCAAAAATTATGTAGAGGCTTGAGACTAATCATGGTATCCTTTCTTTTCTCCCCCTCACCATTTGAATGCAGAGATCAGCAGATTTACAATCTTCCTCCTCTGTTCACTGGTTCCTTTGGGCTCCTTGGCACCAACAGCCACCTCAGAAGAAAGCAAAACTACTACAGGACAGAGGCAGAAGCACTTCACCACCAGAATAAAGCCCTTAGCATCAGTGATAGAAAGGCAAGCAACTACCTTGTTTAAAAACTACGTAAGTGTACTATTTTATATTTGCTGTGTCTATGTCTCTGGAGAAATCTCTTGAATACTTATAAAATGCTAGAAAGCCTAACAGAAAATAAATATTTGGGTTAGAACCTAAAATTGTCTCTTCTCTGTATTCCATGCAAGAAGGAAAGCATTTACATTGTATTCTCTTAGGGCAGGGTTGGAGCAAGGTCTACGACAGCTGGGGAAAGCTTGGGCAACTTCACCTCAGCTAACTGATAGCTGTGATCTTCCAGATTAAATGCATTGTTCCTTTTCTTGGTCTCCTGAGTCACGCTAGGCTTAAAGAAGGCATCTTTTCAGTTGAAACTGGTCAGACCACCAGAAACATGGAGAGAATTGCCTTGCTCTTTGGTCTGATCCTAGTTCTGGAGCAGTCAGGAGCACTTCTGCTGAAAATCCTGCTCGCCCGTCCATTCCTTAGAGACGGTAAAATGTGCGCTGAACTCAAGTGTCAATGCTTCAGACAAGCTCCCAGGAGCATGGCTAAAAACCAGTGTAAATATTTCCCCCGAATTAATTCTTGAAATCAAAACCATCTCTGCTGAAACAGATGAAAATATGCTCAGGTCAAAGCAAATTTCTTGCATGAGTAAATTTTGCCCATATGGCAAAAAAAAAAAAAAAGAAAAGAAAAAAAGACTTAGAAAAGCTGAAAAGAAAGCCAAGCAGGCTATTAAGATAGAAATCACTGCACAATCGTAGCCACAGCTGGCGTGCCATACCTCCTCGATAAAAAGAGTGTAGGTGTTAATACAGCTATTGAACAATAACCAAATCCCCCAAGCACACACAAACTGAAAGGTAGGTGTGTATGTGCCTAAACGTTCAAACACGAAGCGACTACCAGGAAAGATGGAAAATAAAAGATGAATAATTTCTCTCTCCTCTTCCTCCCATACAGAATGCGTGTAGCCCTGTAACAACCAGAACTGTGAACTGGCTAACTGCTGACGCCCAGGCTGCAGAGATGCTGCAGAGAATACCCGAGTGCCCGGCTTTTGACGCAGATTGCTGCGCTTTACACATTTTTTACAACGTTTTGCAAAACGTGAGAAGCGATATAGAATTACTCTGTGGTAAGAATTTAGTTCGGTTTGTCGATGCAAATATCAATCAGCTGAATGTGACACTGAGCGAACGAGCTGCGCTTTACACCTGTAAGAACGAGGACCTTCCACAGATGGATCGTAGTAAGGTCCGGAAGATGTACATCTGGCGGGTTTTACAGAAATATGAACAATTTATGCAAAACACAACAAAAATGTACTCTTCAGCAGAAATGTAATATCTCAGGATGAAAAAACAACTTTAAGATAGTAGGGACCTGGCTAAATGTGACCTATCAGTAGTTATGTGATCGGTCTGATGCCAGGAACAACTCTGACAAAGTACTTGCTCTTCTACATATTATAACTATATAATCTAGTTAAATTTAATATTTAAAGATGAATTTCTTAAGTTATTGATTGTATTTATTATTAAACTATTTATACTGTTTTATTTGCAACATCATATAAAAAGATGGGCTGATGCCACTCCAGGTGATTTAATTAACCAATCATGATATAAACAAGCAAACAGGAAAGCATGATTTCAGTAATTTTCATGTTATTTATATTTTGATTGTCAATAGACTGATTTTGTACTTCTCTCTTTGCTACTGAATTGTATTTATGAGTTTATGTAACACATCTATTTTTATAAATTTATTTAAGCAATTACACAGTTTATATTTACTTAGATTTTTAACTTTTATATTTTAATACTGAAGGGGATGA